ATGGGTACTTTACAGGCAGAGGGGAAGGGGCCAGCACAGACCCTCTCAGAGGCCAGAGAACAGGTCCCTGAGGAAAGACCATCCTGGTTCCTTTTGCATCTTCCCACGGCTTCCATGACATCACCTGCCGTTTCTGCTGTGGCCATCTGTAGAAAGTCTCCACCTTGTGGACAATGCCAGAATTACAGATCTAAGAATATTCCTCCTTTATCAATAAATTCAATGCTGTATATTTTTCTCCCCCCCCTCCTCGCCCCTTTGGTACGGAGGATTGAACCCAGGGACTTGTCACTGAACTACATCCTAGTCCTTTTTAAAATCTTGAGACTGGGTGTCAGTCTCAAAAATCCTGAGACTGGGATCAGAATAGAATTTTAGCTTCACCACCTGGCGAAGTTGCCCAGGCTGGGCTTGACCTTGTGATCCTTCTGCCTCAGCCTCCTAGAATTTTAGGATTACAGATGTCTACCACTTTCCTAATAATTATGAGCCAGAGTGCTGGGATAAGGAGCTCTTGGTCAGGAGGAGAAAATAGAAATGCATCCAGAAGTCACCCAATGCTCACAAGTATGAGTCTGCCTGCAGCAATGTGGTCAGCGAAGAGGGTCAGCAAAGGCGTGAGAGATGACACTGGAGCTGGCTCAGCTAGGGAGAAGGGTCTTTGGAGGTCACCACTGACACCCTCACTGGACAGAGCATGCAACTACAGCACTCAGGATAGGAAGGGTCTGGCACAAGTCTGCTGTCTCTATTTTCAGAATACTGGAGAGTAGCCAATTCATAAATGAGAAAGTTAATTTTGGTCTACAGACCTAGAGGCCAGGATGTCCAAGGTCATGGTGCTAGCATCTTTTCAGATTTGAGAGAGGGCCTCGTGCTGCTTTGACTCAGGGCAGAAAGCAAAAAAGCAAGCAGGTGCCTGCTAAAGAGGCAAAACACAAGGGGACCTTGCTTTGTAATGACAGTCCCATGAGAGCCAAAACTCACAATAGAAATCATCAACCCCACCTAATGGCCTAATCGCCGCCAGAAGATGACTGCACGGGCAAAATTCGGTATGAGTTTTGGAGGGAACAAACCAGATTCAAACCATAGCAGTCATGCAGTGGTTAGGGCAGAGCTGAGGCGAAGACCCAGGCTCCACGTATCCCAGCCTAGGGCTCTTTTCCTGTACGTGATTGGTCTTCAGTGTAAGCAGACTCCACTCCTGGTACTCTAGAAGTGACCCCTGCAAAGCCGGAACTGCTGCGCTTGCCCTTCCCCTGTGTGGCTCCCTCACAGTCATCTGTCCCAGCCTGCTCTCTGCTGCAGTCATCTCTTCCCTCGTTCTTCACATTCCATGTGGCTGAAATTGCAAACCACCGGCGCTCCCTCCAGGGAGGACACTGGGCTGAGTCCAAGTTCCTGGCCTGGCTGGAAAGAGGAAATGAGGTGTGTGTGTCCCTAGAGTGTCTGTCCTCAGGGACTCACAGAGTGCCTGGTACGTAGGCACCCCACAGATATTTGGGATATGAGCGAATGAGTGAGGAGAGGAGAGGTCATGGGGCCCGAGAGTCCAGTCCCAACCGCCAGGATTTATCCAGAGCTAAATCTTATCTCAAGTAGACTGCAGAGGTAGATTGGGGCCTGATCGCAAAGGTCACTGAATGCCCAGTGGCAGAGTCGGCTTTATTCCGCTAGCAGGGGGAACCAGGTCTGTTTGTGAGCATAGAAAAAATGGGATCATAATAGAAATTTTAGCTTCATTCTTTTCAAAGAAAATAAAATAGTCCCTAGTGACTTATCTTTTCCACCCCAAAAAGCCATTAGTATTACTTAAAGAATAAATTATACCAAACATTCCAGACATCTGAGAGCTTTTGTTTCTGAATTTAATAATTAAGCCATATCTCTATAGAATAAATAGAAGCTGCCCTGCGATAAGGTCCTACACCCAGGAGACAAAAACAACCATTGTGACACACGTTTCAGTTTCCTGCTGTGGCACCATCAAGCTCTGAGGCCCATTAAGTATGGGCGTCAAATGCAATAACTCACTTTGTAGATAATGACACACAGTGTGTATTAGCTATTATTATTCTTTTATTATTTTGTTATGAAATTTGTTTCATTTTTCATAAAAAAGACAAATGTAAATAATAGAAGTTGTGTATGTAAAAATATATAGTAACTCCCTAAACTGGGTTCTGGTGTATCCATCATCTCTCCTCACTTTCTGCCAGCCTGCAGCACCCTTCCACAGCTCCTGGGAAGAGGTCTCTAGAGGGGTGCTGTAGGGCTCTCTTCTATTGAATGTTTTAAACAATAACCTGGACGAACTCAGAGACAATCTTCAAATTCTCCAAAACTGAAAGAGAAATCAATATACATTGGATAGAAGTAGCAATATTCATAGAAGTTTGCATAGGTCGGCATCGTGGAGAGAAATAAAATGTTGAAAACTTGCTGGGATGCATGTCAAGTTCTGTCTGGATTCAACACTAAAATGAGAAAGCCTGAGAGAGGAGGAAGAAATCCACTACACAGTGGGAGGGATATAGCTCAGTGGCATAGCACCTGCCTGGCAAGTGCAAGGTCTTGAGTTTGATTCCCGGTACCAAAAAACAAAACAAAACAAAACAAAACAGCAATAATAAAAACAATCCAGGATGGGCATGGTGGTACATTCCTGTAATCCCAGCACTTGGGAGGCTGAGGCAGGAGGATTGTTGCAAGTTTGAGACCAGCCTGGGCTACAAAGTGAGGTCAAGGTCAGTCTAAACTGCCTAGCAAGATCCTGTCTCAAAAAGACAAGGAAAAAAAGAAAGAAAGAAATCCATCACACAGAGTGGCCACTGGTTTTTGTTTTGTTTTGTTTTTCTCCGGTACCAGGAACCGAACTCACGACCTTGCGCTTGCCAGGCAGGCGCTTTTGCCGCTGAGCTAAATCCCCAGCCCCCAGAGTGGCCACTGGATTCGAAAGGGTCTATATATGGGGCAGGGCAGCCCCTCCAAAATGGGTCCTTATTACTGTGGATAAAATTTTCCTGAACAGAAGCATCTGTGTCCAGGTGTCTTCCCTTTTCTCTATTTGAATGTGGCTGCCTTTCCAGTCTCTCTGGGTGGTCAGGGACAATTCAGTAATGACTCTTTCTTGGTAATATGAAGAGAATAATTGCAGAACTGTGAGAAAAAACTATTCTGATCACCCAAGAACTGAAAATATCTATGTGAAGCCCGGGCTGCAGATCAGGAAGCACACAGCAGTGGGCACTCTTGGAAGAGGTAGCGTCTCTGCCTGCCTGGAAGGAGCAAGGCTTTTTGGCTCTGCCCTCTGAGCTGGCCAAGATGCACAAATAAATGCCCCTTCTAGCAAAGCAGAGGCCAGGTCCGGAGCAAGCGCATTCACAGGGCTTCTTTGCTGGTAGGAATCCAGGAAGACAACCCTGTGGTGCTCAGTCTTTGTACCTTTTAATCTTTCCTTCATCTCTTTCATTTTGAGATGAAGTGTTTATGGGGTCTTCCCTGTATTCCAGACATTGTCCTGAGTCAGATCTGCCATGGCTTCCATGGTCCTTATGATCCAGCAGGGGAGCTGGGCCTTGGGCACAACTCACTGTGACATGGCTATGTTCTCAGATTCTCAGCCAGTACCTGCACGTAGTAGGTGCCCAGCAATCGCGGATGTGCTTGGACTGCTTGTCACGCGTCAGGGGTCCTCCTAAGCATTTTGTATGTGTCAGCTCCTGTTAAGTTCACATTTCCATAAAAAGGATGCAACTCAGTCAAAACCCAACTCAGAGAGGTTGACAATGTAGCTTGCCCTTGTTACAGCTATTCAATGGTGGATTCAGCTCCCCAGTGTACAGCCTGAACCACAGCACCAGATGGAGCTTTATAAATGTGCGTTAGGGGAAAAACGCAGGTCTCTGTGCATCACCCAAGAGGGATCTGGACCACGCTCAGAAGACTGCATCATGGTGGTCAGGAGGCCCTTCATGGCAGACACAGTGCTTGGGGTAGGACTTAATGCACAATCCAGTGCTGCTGAGCAGGTGTTCCAGGTAGTGGTGAAGGGATCGTGGGCTTGGACCATAAAACAAGCCCTCTACTTCCTGTGCTATATCAGCCAGGGTGACGTGAGCTGCTATAACAAATAAGACCTGCTTGTTGCTGGCTTTGTTTATTGCTCCTGGACTGGTCTGTGAAAGGACAATCGGTGGGGGACACTTTTCTTGGTGTGGTATTTCAAGGGCCCAGGCTCCTTTAGCTACTTCCTGTAGAGACTTGGAGTCCAGCCAGCAGATGGGGAAGAAGAAAGTGTCAAAGACACCCTTGCTTCTCAACCACATTCCCCCGTGGCTTCCACTCACGTTCCCCAGTGACACTTCATCTTGTGTTTGCTCCTAGATACCAGAGTGGCCAGAAGATGACCCTGGCTGGAAAGACCCTACCCAGCAGCAGCCTTGCTTTCCACATGGGCAGATGAATATCTGGAAACTACTAGTCCACTCTGCCATGAGGGTGGGTTTAGTTCTGAGCCTATCTCCAGCCCTTCTCCCAGCAGTGGGCCACCTAATATCCAAGGAGACCATAAGCTAGTGGCCCTGCTTTATTGCCTTGAGGCAGAGTCCTAGGTTATCAGCTGTGTGTGTGTGTGTGTGTGTGTGTGTGTGTGTGTTGCTGGGGATCAAACCCAGGGCCTTGTGCATGCAAGGCAAGAACTCTACCACTGAGTCACATCCCCAACCCCAGAATCCTAGTTTATTGCCTGTCATAATCTTTACTGCTCTTCAAGGGGGCCCAGCTGCTAGGCAAAGCTCTGAGAGCCCAGGAGCCAGTGCCTGCAGCAGGGACTAAAAGGGACAGCAGCAGGGTCGAGGGAGAAGCAGTAAGGAGAGAAGTTTGTGCTTTTGCAGCACGAGCGGAGGAGGAAGAGCAGAAGAACCAGCCAAGTTGTGAAACAAGGAAGAGGGCCACCCGCCTGCTTTCATTCTCAGGTAAATATTTGACTGGGTGTTTGCCTGTTCTCTCGGTTTTCAGGCACTGCAGAGAGAACAGAAGTGAAGGCCAGCTCAGCAGAAGCCATCAGAACCAAGAGCCTCAGGAGCCCAAAGAACAAATCAGGGAGCTTCCTGTGCCAGGGCCGTGCCCACCAGGCCTGTGGGCCAAGCTCCTCAGCAAGATGCTTGCCGCAAACGCAAGGTGTGTGTTCAGGGGCTGGGCTGGGACTGCTCATGCTGGACAGCGGGTGCCCCAGGCAATGGTCCCTCTTGATGTTGGTGATAATGAACTGGGAGAGGGCACGGCCTGGTCATTCGCAGGCGGGCTGGCTTGGAGGAAGGAATCACAGGAGGCTTCCTGGGTCAGGGAAGAGATTTCCTTTCCTCTCCAGTTTAGAGCTACAGAGGAGTGAGCAGATGTGCAGTTAGAAGATCCTGGATTTGAATCCTGGCTCTGTAGTTTCTGGCCTCAATTTCTTCATCTATTAATTGGGCGTAATGTGTTTTACCTGACCCGCAGCTTTACTGTTACCGATACCTTCTAATTGTACATGTTTTATTGGGCACAACCGGATGTTTTGATACATGATTACATTTCATTGCTCATTGATCAAGTCAGGACAGTCAGCATATCCATCACCTCCTGCACTTTGCCTCTTTTCATGATGAGAACAATTAAAATCCCTCTTCTACCTATTTTGAAATATGTAATCCCTCATTGTTGGCTAGAATCACCGTTCTGTGGAATAGAGCACAGAACTTATCCCTCCCTATCTAACTATAACTTTGTTCCCACTGATCACCCCCCTCCTGACCTCCCCACTTCTTTCAGGCACTGTTCTATCCTGTGCGTCTATGAGCTCAGCCTCTTTTAGATGCCAAATATGAATGAGTTCACACAGCACAGTGTTTGTCTTTCTGTGTTTGGCTAATTTCACTCAGACATGATGTCCTTCAGGTTACCCACATTTTCTCAAGTTGCAGCATTTCCTTTTGAAAGACTGATTAATATCCATTTCTTATCCATTCATCCACTGTTGGGATCTTTAGGTTGATTCCCTATCTTTGCTATTATAAATAGTGTTACAATAAGTATGATATCTTTTTCATATACCAGTTTCATTTATTTTGATATACCAACTTCTTTCTGATACATCAATTTCATTTATTTGGGTTATGTATCCAGTAGTGGGACTGCTGGTTCTTATGCTAGTGCCACTTTTAATTTTTGAGGAACCTTCCTACTGTTTTCCAAAATGGCTGCACTAATTTATGTTCTTATCAGCAGCATGTAAGAGCTCCCCTTCCTCTACATCCTAACACCTATTTAATGTTCTCTTTCTGACAACAACTACTCTAACAGAAATGGACTAACCCACAACCTTGTGAAGGCCATATGAGAACAAAAGTGGGAAGCGACTATGGATCTGTAAAGCCCTGCCCAGATGACAGTAATTAAGAATTCTTATTCTAACCTGTAAATGTTTATGATACAAGAACTGAAAAGGTGACTCCAAGACCTAACAAGAAATACTGCGTTTCCTTAAAAAGGAGACCTAACTGGAAAATAAACTCCAGCTGTAATTAATGGCTGGTTGTTACCATGGTGATGGCCAGTGTCATGCAAAAGATCCCACTACTCTCTTGCTCACTGGCTATTCTGTATGGTAAGGAAGGCAAGGATAGGTTGATTGGGGCTGGCATTTTTGATTTCTGGTTAGGTCTTATTTTCAGGAAAACATGATAGGATCACTGCCTCCTGGTGTCATAGTGTCTGTTTAGAACATTGAGAGATATGATGGAGGATAAAAAATAGAGAGGGGGCCATAAAAACAAAGCCAGGCATGATAAGTGTTACTTAGAAAAGATGCACGGAGACTCAGGCACAGGAAGGAAGGAAGCAGATGGAAAAGACCAGACCAGAAGAGGGCCTTGAAGGACAGGGGGACAGCGAGCACTGAGTCAGCCAGAGGTGCGTGGGAAAATGGAACTGGAGAATCCCAGAGACCCGGCCAGTTCTTTCTCTCCAGGGGGGCTCCATGGCTGGGATAGAAGGGGACAGGCTGAGGCAAGGGGGCCTGGAGGGGTCAATGTGGAGTTTCTGGAAGATCCTTTTGGACTGCTGGGTAGAAAATGGGTTGGAGGTTGGAGGCTGTGATGATCTCAGTGAAGATAATACTGAGACCAAGGTGGTAGCTATGGCACGGGCAGACATGACAATGCAGCAGGGGTTGGAGAGGAAGGGGAAGAGGGTGGTGCTGGGAGTCTGATGTGGACAAGTGAGGCTGTGGTGTGACCCTTCTTGAGATGTGGTCTCCAGAGGAGGACCAGGTGGTCGGGGTGTGCAGTTGGCACAGTTGGCCTGGGCAGCCTATGAGACTCCCAACAGTAGATACCCAGAAAGCAGGCAGTGGGCCTTGTGTCCAGCTCCAGAGAACCTGACCCACCCCTGTGCCCGTTGTACCCTCTGTCCGGACCCCTAGCGTTCCTGTGAAGCCCGCCTTCATCCACCTCTCAGGACTCCTCCCCATCACCGTTGTCTCACCGGATATGCTCTGGCTTTTTGGAGCCCTTTTCACAAGATAGATGCAAACCTGAGCGTGTTGTTCAGATTTGTCTGTTGGCCAAGAGTACAGGGTCACTGTCCCTGCTGAGGCCCCCAGACATGAAACCTTTACCAATGTCCTTTAACACCTTTAGTGCCTAAATGTTTCCTGTTTAGAAAATATAAGAAGCATTTAAATTCCAGCTTTGCCGCTCATACCTGGGCGACTTTGAGCTTTTCCCTAACCTCCCTAAAACCCCAGTTTTGTTTTCTGTGAAGTGGGAATCCATGCTGCATAGGTCGTGAAAGGGTGAGGTGAGATAATAACTCACATGGTACAAGGCATTCAGGGCAAAGAAATGGCAGTGAGTTGCTTTAATGGACAGTGAAGAGTGGTAGTATGCTAAATACCTGAGGAAATTCGTTCCAAAGGAGGAAAGATCCACTGTGGCTCAGGGTTTCCGCCTGTGGTTGAGTGGCCCTGCTGCCTTTGGGCCTGTGGCGAGCAAGGTGGAACATCAGGGCGGAGGTCTGCGGTGGAGGAGAGCGGCTCACCTCGCAGTAGCCAAGAAACAGAGAGGTCAGAGTGTGCTGTCCTCTTCAAGGGCGAGGGCCCAGGGACCCACTTCCTCCAGTTAGGCCCCGCCTCCCAGTAGTGCTATCCGATGGAGAGCAGACCTCAGCACGCACTTCTAGGAGGCATTTAAGACTCAAATTATAACAGGTGGGAGCAGAAAAATGTACTTTGGTCTTCTAGCCCCAATTTTTAAGTGGCAGCATTCTCTGCGTGTCTCAGACTTACACGCAAACACCCCATGCACATGTTCTGACGGAGAGCACCAGCCAGCAGCTGCCCGTGCCCAGCTGTGTGTGAGCGCAGGATGGATGGAGTGGTCAGGGAGGGGAGAAAAGAACAAAGAGGCCTCGGGAGAAACGACACAAAGTGGAAGGAAAGCAGGATGTGTATGTCTGCCTGTTGCTGTAATCTTTTCCCTGGTTCTCGGAGCGTTAGACAAAATGATAGACACAGAGACAAAGAGAAAGGCAAGAAGAGAAACAGTCACATAAAACTGTCTAGGGGCCTCTCAGGAGGACCTGAAAAGGAGGGAGGGAGCTGGGAAGAAAACAGACAAGGTGGCTGGCAAGGGGGTGGCCTATCTGGGCTTCACTGTATTTTATTTAGAAAACTAAAATTTTCATCCAGAAAAGCACAAATCCATACAAAGGAAGAGAGCGTGGCAGAGAGAACCTCACTCGTTACAGCTCCAGCAACTGTCATAGGAAACCAGTCTCTCAGGCACCCCATCCCCCTTTCCACCACTTCCTCATAGATTTCATTGTTGAAAAGCATTCACCCTCCCATAGAACGCTTACAGCTGCATCCAAATGGCCTGGCCCACAAGTTCCCTCCAAGGCCCTGACGGGCCCTGGCATTCACTCATCTCTGTCATGCAAGATCTCAGACTACCCTTGGCATAGAGCTGGAAATTGAAGAATAGTAGATTGTCAGAGTTCCATGCCTGGCCCTCTCCCTTGCTAACTGTGGGAGCTTGGAGAGGGTTCTTGTCTTCTGATGCCTCAGTTTTGTCACCTCTAGAGCAGAGCTGTTGTGAGGATGACCTCAGCTGATAAACATACAACCCTGTACACACAGCACGCAGCAGGGCTGGAGGGACAGTAGCTTTGGATCCATTGGCTTAGGAAGGGCAGTGAGCCCTTGCTGGTGCTAGGAAGGGCCTGGGTAGGGATCTGGGCACCTGAGGCGGAATGAGAAGGGTCCCAGCCTCAGGGAACCCCTCCTCTGCTGAGGGACCCGGATCCCTGGAAAGACGGTGCCAGTGGGTGGCTGCGGTGACAGTAGGCTGTGTGCCACGCAGCCCATCTCTCCCAATTCACCAGTCACCAAACTGAGACTTAAGGTCTCCTGAGCACTTAGCTCAGGGCTAGGATGGATTCAGTACAGGTTTCCTGGCCCGGTCTCTCCATCACAGGAGTCCGGTGGCTCTGGATGGCCCCTGTGCTATTCTGGGCAAAGGCGTGCTGCCCTGGGCCACCCTTCCTGCAGCACGGAAGTATGAGGCTGGCCGTGGGGCCAGATATGGGCAGCTGCTCTGGCTACTGGTTAACCATGCTGCGATCCACACCACGGTCAGGGCCCCAGGGCAGGGGAGCAGTTGGCATCCCCAGCCCTGCTGACCCTGACACACACCGGAAGGCAGATCTGGGAGGAGGGCAGAGGTGGCTGCCACCTGGCCTGGAGAAGGGCTCCAAGCACCCTGGGGACAGAACAGCAGACAGTCTGGGGCCTGAGGAGCCCTTCTGACTCTGCAAAAGGAAAGCCACTGTGTTAGTCAGAGCGTTCCAAAAGCAGGGGAGCAGTTGGAAAGAAAGCCCGGTTCTTCCCACCCAGGACAGGAGTACAGGAACTTGACTCTCACTGTGTAGACTCCTCACAGCACCTAGGAGGGGAGGCCGCAGATCCACTTTCAGGAGAAGAAGAGTAAGGCCTCGAGAGTAAGGCCCAGCAAGGTCACACAGCGCTGTGTGGTGGCCTAGCCCAGCCCTGCCTGCCTCCATAGCCAGCCCCTCCCCACTGGGCCCCAGGGTGTCTGTGACAGGAAGAGTCTGCCTTGGGAGGTAGGATGGGTCCGCATGGT